TGGGATCTGTAGGGATGGCGTAGGATTTTGTCGTTGTCTGTCTGCCTCTAATACCTTTACATTTGAATGATCTCAACACTTAAGTTTCTGGGTTTGGCATTGTCGTTCGTGTCAGATCTTCCTATGGTACCTCCGGAGTCTGTATTTGTTTTCCAAACAATTCTATTGATCTTTACCAAACTTTAGGGCATAATATGGGAGTGGGGGGGGTCAAATATGACCTTCATGCCATTCCCCAGAGGCTCTGTGTCTGCCTGGGTGACTGTGTTTCTCGCCATTAGTTTTTTAAGTATTTCTGCCAAATTTGATATGCATTCACAAGACCCCACGGGGAATTGCATAGGTGTTAGGCGTTCGTATTTAGCCCATATGTTTGGAGGGGGGCTATGTGTCTCTGTACTATTTGATTGATCTCTACCAAACTTCGAAAGCACCCGAGGGAATGGCATAGGGAATTTGATGCCCGGGTACGTCAGCTGATATACTATAAGCTACTTATTGTATCTTAATCACTCCTGGGTACCTTTATAGTAAACTCTCTGTCGTGTTTTAAGTGTGTTATTGTTGTATTCAAGTTGCACTGCTTGAAATGGGCTATTATGTCTTGTGTACAGGACGTCTAAGAATTTTGTAAACACTTTGAAAAATTATACTGGGAAAGTCGTTTAACATAGGGTCACACACAAGAAAAATGCTTAGTTTTTTTACATCATATAATCGCTATAGTTCAACATGTTTTCTAGGCATGACATGCAAAATGTCCAGTCTCTACCCAGTCTTCTGCCAAATGTTTTGCAAAATTGGGGGAGCAATCTTTTAAGGCCTCTTGGATACGTTGTCACAATTCAACATTACTGGTATCAACGTCTTATTAGAATGACATGCTAGGTTGTAATGTTTCCATTTGTGTCAATTTCTGCAGCATGTCAAGACAAGGTACGTGTTTTCAGTAACAATGGCCTCTACAAAAAAACAACAAAAAACATCGTTATGGGTTGTTGCTTCCCAGGTGTTCGCGTTTAGATTGTCTCTCACATGTTCACGCTCTCTAATAAAAAAAAAAAAAAAAAAAAAAAAAAACGTCAAACACTATTCTTACTCTTGCAAAAACCGTTTTTAACGGTTTTCCTGGTATGATATTGTTTTCAAAATTTTCGAATACCTTGTATGTTATTGCTAAAAAATATGAAGGTGTTTATACAGTGGTTTTTAACAATATGTTGATGGAAAGGGTTCATTATGACAGCTATTAAAAAACAAAACAAAAAATACGCGATTTTAAAAACAACTAATACGTGATAATCTGCTTAAAAAGAAAACAAAAATGTGAGTAGGTCACCAAAACGTTAGCTGTTTAGAATACCTATTAAACTTACCGATTCACGACTGAACCTAGTTGTACTTCTGCAGGGTCCCCGAAAGTGTTCTGTTTCAAGAGTAAATAAAACCAAAATTAAGAGTAACAAATATTTTTATTACTTGCTTTTGAATTTCATGTGTCATGATGTGTTGTAGTCTACAGAGTGCATAATTCTTCTCGTGATTCATGACATGCGCACGTTTTACCGATGTCTAGACAGTACAGATGGCATCGTTAAGCGTCCATAATGGGGCGTCATTTTAGTGTATACTGACTGATAGACAGACAACACGCTACAGTATAGAGGTGAGAGTGGTTAAAGCAGGTGACCCCTCCAGGCGGCATTCGGCCCCCTTTCAGGGAAATAACTAAAACAACTTTAAATTTTAGTTTATTTTAAAAGAATAAACGAGTTTTTATGAATATTTTCTGTTTTATTTATTTCCTACATTTTGTTATGGTTAAATTAAATGGCTTGTGTACAACTGTGCCTAATTTTGAATTCATAGATTAGAAAGAAGATAGCTAGTTAACAGCAACTATCGATATATTTTGAGCTACTCTTGTCTGACCGAATAGTGGGATTTAATCGTCACTCAGAGCGTGCGTACGGCCCCAAAGAGCGGAACGGGTTTTTGCGGTAACGGGACAAGAACCACGAACCTTCGTCTTCTTCGAGAATTTAGTTATTATACCCATACAGTCGACACTTCTAAAGAACGAGCAATAATTCAAGGCTTGTGAAAATATCTAGACCTTCCAGCCATGGGCGTCCGCTGAAATTTTTCTGGGGGGGGGGGGTAGAGAAAGTAGTGAGAAATTGTGAAGTAAATAAAGAAAATGTAAATTCATATACATAAAGAAAAAAATATTTTCCAGGAGGGCAAGTGCTTCACCCTTTCCGCTGACATCTATGCTTCTAGCTGTCGTTGCACATTTTGTGCTGAATAAGAGATCACACTATTATTTTGATGTAACAATGGTGTTCCCTCCGTTGTGAAAGTCATTATCATCAAATAGAAATTTTATCGACTATCAACAATCAAACTTGTTTTGTGTTTATTTTTCGATGATCGTTTTATACTTGAAAGATGCCGATTGCATTGTTGAATAAAAGTAAAATGGTGAAAAAAAACTGTTGGAAGAGTATTGTTTAAAATTTGATTCCATCAACAAAGTAAAAGCTTAGATTTTTGTAGTTCTTAAAACAAACATGACACCTGAAAATATAGAAAGAATCTACGCTCTCATTCTGTGTATTTTTTTATATAGTTTGTTTTTGTTTTAATGATTGAACTAAATTGAGTTTTTCTCTCTTGCTTCTTCCATTTGTTAAATCATGGTTACATTTTTGCCCCTAGTATGTATGTATCATTGTCAATAGATGGCACTAAATTACATTTTCCCATTACTTTTGCCAGTGTTGCATCTTCTTTTTTTTTCTATTATAACAGTAAAAGCTTTATAAAGGTTTCAAGAATGTTGTAGATGCCACACGACGAGCATAACAGTTTATTCATTTTTGCATACAGAGTTGGACGTAAGAAACTAATTTGAAACTTCCTGGCTTTGTTCTAATGCACTCTAGTTGAACAGTACTCGTTCAGACAATGCGTGTTAAACAGAGGGTATAAATCGGGAGAAACAGGAAAACTACCTTGGATTGGATATTAAGAATAATTTTGCGATATAGTTTGTATGTTTTTTCGCAAGAGGTAGAATGGATACGAAACTGTTAAGTTTATTGCGTCGTCTAACACGTAGATGCAATTACATTTTTAAGAAACACGTTAGAATGTGTTTACTTTTTAGTTTCATTTTTTATATTGTTGTTGTTTTTACCAAAGAGATTTAGAGAGTTTTAGTATTCAAGTTTTAGCAACACTTAGTTTTTGGTTTTTGTCCCATAGATGAATTTTTTTTTTCTCTATTTATCTTAGTATTAACATATAAAATATTTTATTACATGACCATCGTTCTATTCTTCGCAAAGATCCCAGAGCGAGCTCCTGTTGGCTGGAGATTTACTGTTTAAAGATTTATAGCTGCTGAAGAACAGTTAAGAGGATAAGTGAAATTTGTAATATTAGAGCTATGGCAAGGAAAACTACTGTTATAAAATATTTTCAATCACCTTCCTTAGTGACTCTTTTATGCAAATCGTCATGTAATCTGAAATGTAAATGATCGGTTATTCAGCTTACGCTCGTAAAGTGTCTGGTGGTTAGGACACTCGACAGTCTGATGGTTGTGGGATCGAAACCCATAGCCGAACATGCTCGCCCTTTCAGTCGTCAGGTGTTATAATGGAATGGTCAATCCCGCTATTTATTGGGAAAGGGTAGCTAAAGAGTTGATGGTGAGTGCTGCCGACAAGTTGCCTACCCTGCTGAGGTAAGCAGTTAAAACTTGGGGAAAGTGTCAGATAGCAGTAGTAGCTTTGCTAAACAAACAAATACACTCGTAAATGAAAATTAACTAGATCTAATTTTACAGTTCACGACTTGTCTCTTCAGTATGGAATATGTTCACCGAGAACAGCAAGGACAGCTTGGCACCGATGGTAAGTGTTTGAAATCAATGTTGATAAGGTCCTGTTATTCTCAACTACTCCATTGAGGGAGATTTTTTTCAGGGCATTCTTAGTGTTTGGGGCTAATTGATGAAATATGACACGATTGTCTCAAAGATATTGAAATCCGGCGATTGGGAAGGCAGATTCATTTCTTTCCCCAAAGAAAATTGTAAAACGGTTTAGCACGATGAGGATAAGACTTTATATGAAATTAGGCTGAAGTCAGGACCAACTGCACCAACATATGGTAGCACAAAGGGTGTTAGGACGTGGGCCCTATTGTATATGGCAAATGATGCCATTCAGCAAGATCAAGGGGCCACGCAATACTTTCACCATTGCTTTATAAGTCACGTTCATAAATAAAAATGGGATGGATCGGTTTCCCTAGTTTCACCATATGAATATAAGCACGTTATCTGGTTGCAGAGCGAAGTGCAAGTCATCTGTAATAATATTATTTTGCTCTTAACACGTTGTTGTTTCAGTGGACGTGTTGGCGCCATTGCATGCGAGTTGTTTTGCTCCTTGCTGTAAGGAGGACTCTGAACTTCGATTCATTTCAAAGTGACAATTGAGATTATATGAGACAATTACACACACATATATATAAGGTAGGCTGGTTGACTACACATTTGCATTTCAGATCTCATGATTGATCAATACATACCCGATTATCATGACAGTTAACTGTGGTTGACAGTATTTCAAAAGATTGATTTTGCCTTGTCAAAAGCCCCCTCATCCACCCCCCTCTTGGCTCAGCGGCATGTGCGAAGACTTATAACGCTAAAACATAGGGTGCAAAGCACGAGTAGCCTTTTGTGTTGCTTTATGCTTAACAACAAACAGTCAAAAGGTATTTCACACTTTAATGCTATAAATTATTCTTTTAAAAAGTTTTGATCAGTTTTTTTTTATTTTATTTAATTTTTTTGCCGTATCTGTACGATTTAAGAATTGCAGTAAAATTTTATGCAAATCTTTGTCATCTCACACATGGATAACAAATTATTTTGTCAGAGCTATACTATTAAATATTTATAGTTATGTTTTTTCTTATAGATGGAAAAACTCTCTGTTGGTCCAAGAGTGGTCCGAGCACCTGCGTTAAGACGAGGAAGAGAGATAACTCCACTGTCGGAAAGGGTGAGTAGGATTTTATCTAATAAAAGAAAGAACTTTGAATTCATCCTAATAGGTGGCGCCCTCTTCTAGACGCAGGAGTACATGTAATTTTACATTTTACGTTACGTATTCACAAACTCCAATTGAAACACTGCATACCATACTATCAAGTATTTAAAGTGTTGTTAGGTGTTTGCAAAGATCAATGCAATAAAGTAAAATCACTGTAAAAACACAACGTTGGAATGGAAACATCTAGTGACGTTTCGAGTAACCGCTCTTCGGCGGACTTAATTACAAAAAACAGTGTAGCGTAACATTTGATAATGTCATAATATGATGCTGTATTTTAACAACTTGTAAACAACATGCTTTGTTTTAGTGACTGGTAATTTGTCAGATGGCTCAGGAATTTGATAACAGTGATCTCTGGGCAAAACAAGTGCAGGACGTTGAAAACTTTGCAAGACAATCATTACATTCGAGTTGCTTGTAATAACAATAACCATTTGAAATCCATTGAACCTTTTAAAACATTGTTCTGTATAATATGTAAATTTACTTGAGTTTCCTTGCTTGTACAGCATTTGAAATAAGACCAGATCCATGGTGAGAGATTTATGAAAGTTGACAAATAATTTGTTTATATGATTCATTTATTGATTTTATAGAGAAGGGTCATTGTTTTGATTTATTTATGGCTACATCTTCACTGGGGTTTGTGACTATGTATGAAGAAACCTGCTTAAGTTGGTATGTAGGTGTACTCTATTGCTATGTTCAGGATGTCTGCATATACAATGACTTCATTAATGAAAGGAAAAATAGTTATATATTCTTTATTACATGCTCATAGCAATTTAAATAACATTTTCTATTTTAGCTTTATCAAATAGTAAGTAACATGTGACTTAAAAACATCTCGCTTAATATAAGTGTGTCTATCTTGAAAGTATGTATAAACAGTGTGTGAAAAGGAAATCCTTTAAATGATTGATGGGATTTGAAAAAAAAATGCAACTGTCGAAGTAATAGTTTCACCAATTATTAATAAAAAAAATTATGTTTTTGTCCTAAATATGCCAGTAATGATTGTAAGTATACCTCATCAATACCCCTAGTGGCCCTTCTCAATGACTAGTCTATATTTAACCAGCACTGGAGCTATGAAATCTGTGCATTTTAAAATAAAAATAATTTTTTCTTGACACACCCGGAACCATTCCTAGTTGACAGGTCCAAATGCAAAAGTCTGGGAGGAGTTAGAGGACAAAGAAACTTCTTATAAATTATAGTGAGGTAGCTCTCCCCCCAGTCTTTTGGATAATTTATTTCTAGTGGTGAGCAATTATAACCTTGCCGATTTGTAAATAATTCCGATATATCGATTATTCTAATTAGATAATTTTTTTTAGAAAATAAACCGTGAAAAACAGATGGGAATAAGGATAACTGGAGGAAAAAATAGAGAATACCATAAGAAAATTTACAAATGTAACGTGCTTATTTAAGTTTTCATATTTTTAGTGTGCAGTACAACATTGAGTTTTTCTGTAAGCCCTGTCTAAGATAATGACGAGAGCAATGTGAAAGAAAATACAATTGTTCTCAACTTTTGTGTAGTAATTGAATTGACATGTTAATATTAAATAATCTTATAAATTATATTTCAATATTTATTTTAATAATCTAAAACTAATCCACATTTCGATTGATCGCTCAGCACTATCTATTTGAAACATAGTTCTCTCCAAATCTGGCTGTTTTATTTCAAATATATAGACCTTTGTAAATCTTTTGACTACTTTATTTTATACATAGTCCTTCTTCAGTTTATTGGCTACTTTATTTCACATCTATTCATCTATTGGCTATTTTATTTCACATCTAGTCATCTATTGGCTATTTTCTTTTCTTCTTAACCATGAAAGGCACTCAACCACGGTGAATTTCTGCTTTCCGCTATATTTTTACACTACTAGAAGCCCTTTTGAGAGTTTCCACCCCCAATGGTATGATGCACGTTCTCATACACCTCCGTGCATGTGGGTAACCAGCGCCTGTGTGTAGTGGATGGCCCATATACATAGTTAAGCCTACAGGTGTAAGCAGCCGTACAGCTACCATACTGAAGAAATGCCTTCCAGCCAACCAACATCGTCATTGATGTCTCTAGAGAGCTGGCTTTAGTTTAATCGGTCTACCTTGCTGTGTACGTACCGTGTACAGGTTCATTTGACCCTAACCCTGCACCAATGCAAACTTGTGATCTATAGCTAGAAAAGAAAATCTTTCAACAGTTTTTTGTGTGTTTGATACCCGTGTTAAAGCGCAGTTCTTACAATGGCAGAAACGACAGACAACGGAATCACGGAGATTGTAAGGCTTTCACATCAGGTAAGTGTGCGTGTAAACAGTGACGTGGTGAGTTGCTTTAGCGTTAAGTCAGCCGTCCGCGTTTTCAAAATACTCGTTTCACATGTATAAAATTTGTGTGTGTGTGTGTCTGTGAGTGGGTGGGTGCTTCTACAGGATTTGGACTTTTTTCGTAGCATAGGCTATCGTGAAGCGAAGTGTTATCGTGATTGGAAAGTACGGTCGTCGATTTCGAAGTAACACTGTCATATAGTGCAATTTAATCCCACAGTTGCTATAGCAACACCTCCCATTTCTTTTAAAAATAACAAAGTAATTTTATTTTTATGCCGTACAAAAATATTGGTTTCTCTTTCAGCCACGGAGGGGCTTTATAGTACAATGTATAATCCCATTATTCGTTGGTGAAGAGTAACCCAAGAGTTGACGATGTGTAGTGTTGACTATCTAGTGTCTCATTTCAAAATTAGGAATGGCTATCGTAGATAACCCACGAATACTTTTGCACGGAGTTCCACAAAAACCAACAAACAGATGTCTTCGTAGTTATGTTACCGTAATGTCAAAAAAGAAAAGAGCTAGACGACTTAACATTCTTTCAGACTTATCAGACAGCATTGGAACTAAATACAATTTGTGTTGCGAGGATAAGTGGTAGACCTTATTGAATGCTGGATAACTAATTATCACAGTGCATTCTTAGGCTCTGTCTGTGTTAAGTATTTTTGAAAACAGCACGATACTCACGGAAGAATGTGACAAGAGTGCATGGTTTATATAGCTCGAGGCATCCTGTTAGGGTTACTGTCAATCCCGCAGGATGCCAGGATGAGACTTCCCGAAAAATAATTGTGTCGAATAGTAACGACATCCATAAGTCGATATCGCAAAACTTGTTAATGGGATAGCTAAAACCGTGTATTAATATATGCATATATACTAGAAATTAATTACTAATTAATTTATAACCTACGTCTTCAGGGAAGCTCTAAAAGAACTGTGTGTGTGTGTTTTATATTTAGTAATTAGACATTGATGGTAGTATAAGCTACTAAATCATAAAAAAATAATTGATATTAGATTGCCACAGCCTTATCAGTAGTACTACTCACGTGCCTTTCACTAATTTTTGTTTTTAATGTTTATTAAACTACTGCAGTTTTATTACCTGTTGTAAAAACTCGATCAGATGCTTTTATCGCACGTGAGGAGAATCGTAAATGTTATTTATTTTTAAGCTACTGGCCGAACATTTAGTTCACCTACTGACCGTATGGTTACGATAATAGTAGTTGTTTTTGAAAAACTTAAGAATACGCTACCCGATTAACACTAAGCCCTCTGTGTTCCTGAAGAGTTCACGATAGGAAAATTAATTAATCCTATTTAAGCTGTTGCTTTAGCATATTTTAACTTGTGGGTCTCTCTCAGGAAAAACCAGAACAGTCGATTAAGCTTTGCTTAAGGCCCGGCATGGCCAGGTGGTTAAGGCACTCAACTCGCAATCTGAGGGTCGCGGGTTCGAATCCCCGTCAAACCAAACATGCTCGACCTTTCAGCCGTGGGGGCGTTATGTGACGGTCAATCCCACTATTCGTTGGTAAAAAGAGTAGCCCAAGAGTTGGCGGTGGGTGGTGATGACTAGCTGCCTTCCCTCTAGTCTTACACTGCTAAATTAGGGACGTCTAGCGCAGATAGCCCTCTTGTAGCTTTGCGCGAAATTCAAAACAAACAAGCTTTGCATAAAAACTGCGTCAAGGTCAAATCTTCAGTAAAAGTCAGTAACTGTCGTTATAATATAATAATATTCCAGGGATAGAAATAATGAAATAAAATTACATTCACTCGAGGGAAAGCCATCAGGAAGATTACATTCCCTCATGTAAAGTTGCATTTTCTCGTTAATTTTTATTATTATTATTATTATTTAATTCATGCAATATGTTCACTTTCATTGGTCATAACTAAAGGAAAACGGATGGGCCATACATTCCCAATCGGGAAAACCAACTAAAAAATATGAAATTCCTCAAGCAAAGCTATATATTCCTCGGGAATGCGGAAATGTAATATTTCGATCCCTGTATTCTGTGTGAATTTTAAACGTAGGTCATATCTCTGGTTTTGGGTATATTCTGTTTCGTGCACCACGTTCAAATAGAAAGATATATATTTTTGGAATGTAGTTTTTAATGCTGATTTCAAAAATATAAATTAGAATTTGTAGAAATGAAAAGAAATATTTTTTATATTTTGTTTACGAAACAAAGGAAGTACTTTTAGCATCACATATATACCTATGTATTTAAAATAATTCAAAAACATCGCGACGATACAAAGTAACTAGTGACATGTAACACATTCAGTATGAAAATTCAGAAATATTCTTACATATTTGCTTCAAGAGATCATCATTTTCATGCCTCACGACCTAGCAAAATAAAAAATTTATATATTTAATATCTGTTTTCATTTCTTCAAATTTTAATTTATATTTCTGAAATCAGCATTAAAAACTGCATTCAAAAATATATATTTATATCTGTTTGACTGCGGTTCATGAAACACAAAAGACTCCTGGTAACTAGGTAGCTTAACCAAACAGGACATTTAAAATTTATAAGTTCTTACTTTTTTTTTATCAG